ACAGCAGGTTAGGCTCCAGGTACTGTACGGCCCTGCTTATACAGCAGGTTAGGTTCCGGGTACTGTACGGCCTTGCTTATACAGCTGGTTAGGTTGTGGGTACTGTGCGACCCTGCTTATACAGCAGGTTAGTTTCCGGGTACTGTACGGCCCTGTTTATACAGCAGGTTAGGTTCCGGGTACTGTACGGCCCTGCTTATACAGCAGGTTTGGTTCCATGCTACTGTACGGCCCTGCTTATACAGCAGGTTTGGTTCCATGCTACTGTGCGGCCCTGCTTATACAGCAGGTTTGGCTCCATGGTACTGTACGGCCCTGCTTATACAGCAGGTTTGGTTCCATGCTACTGTACGGCCCTTCTTATACAGCAGGTTTGGTTCCGGGTACTGTACGGCCCTGCTTATACAGCAGATTAGGTTCCGGGGTACTGTACGGCCCTGCTTATACAGCAGGTTAGGTTACATGCTACTGTACGGCCGTGCTTATACAGCAGGTTAGGTTCCGGGTACTGTATGGCCCTGCTTATACAGCAGGTTTGTTTCCGGGTGCTGTACAGCCCTGCTTATGCAGCAGGTTAGGTTCCATGCTACTCTAGGTCCCTGCTTATACAGCAGGTTAGGTTCTGGGTTCTGTATGGCCCTGCTTATACAGCAGGTTAGGTTCTGGGTACTCTATGGCCCTGCTTATACAGCAGGTTAGGTTCCGGGTACTGTATGGCTCTGCTTATACAGCAGGTTAGGTTCCGTGTACTGTATGGCCCTGCTTATACAGCAGGTTAGGTTCCGGGTACTGTATGGCCCTGCTTATACAGCAGGTTAGGTTCTGGGTACTGTATGTCCCTGCTTATACAGTTGGTTAGGTTCCATGCTCCTGTATGGCCCTGCTTATACAGTAGGTTAGGTTCTGGGGTACTGTACAGCCCTGCTTATACAGCAGGTTAGGTTCCGTGCTACTGTACGGCCCTGCTTATACAGCAGATTAGGTTCCATGCTACTCTAGGTCCCTGCTTATACAGCAGGTTAGGTTCCTGGTACTGTACGGCCCTGCTTATACAGCAGATTAGGTTCCATGCCTCTCTAGGTCCCTGCTTATACAGCAGGTTAGGTTCTGGGTACTGTACGGCCCTGCTTATACAGCAGGTTAGGTTCTGGGTACTGTATGGCCCTGCTTATACAGCAGGTTAAGTTCCGGGTACTGTACGGCCCTGCTTGTACAGCAGGTTAGGTTCCGGGTACTGTACGGCCCTGCTTATACAGCAGGTTAGGTTCCGGGTACTGTACGGCCCTGCTTATACAGCCGATTAGGTTCCATGCTACTCTAGGTCCCTGCTTATACAGCAGGTTAGGTTCCGGGTACTGTACGACCCTGCATATACAGCAGATTAGGTTCCATGCTACTCTAGGTCCCTGCTTATACAGGAGGTTAGGTTCTGGGTACTGTATGGCCCTGCTTATACAGGAGGTTAAGTTCCGGGTACTGTACGGCCCTGCTTTTACAGCAGGTTAGGTTCCGGGTACTGTACGGCCGTTTATACAGCAGGTTAGGTTCCGGGTACTGTACGGGCCTGCTTTTACAGCTGGTTAGGTTCCCGGTACTGTACGGCCCTGTTTATACAGCAGGTTAGGTTCCAGGTACTGTGCGGCCCTACTTATACAGCAGGTTAGGTTCCGGGTACTGTATGGCCCTGCTTTTACAGCAGGTTAGGTTCCGGGTACTGTACGGCCCTGCTTATACAGCAGGTTAGGTTCTGGGTACTGTACGGCCCAGCTTATACAGCAGGTTAGGTTCCGGGTACTGTATGGCTCTGCTTATACAGCAGGTTAGGTTCTGCTTACTGTATGGCCCTGCTTATACAGCAGGTTAGGTTCCAGGTACTTTACGGCCCTGCTTTTACAGCAGGTTAGGTTCCGGGTACTGTACGGCCCTGCTTATACAGCAGGTTAGGTTCCGGGTACTGTATGGCCCTGTTTATACAGCAGGTTAGGTTCCGGGTACTGTACAGCCCTGCTTTTACAGCAGGTTACATTCCGGGTACTGTACAGCCCTGCTTATACAGCAGGTTAGGTTCTGGGTACTGTACGGCCCTGCTTATACAGCTGGTTAGGTTCTGGGTACTGTACGGCCCTGCTTATACAGCAGGTTAGGTTCCGGGTACTGTACGGCCATGCTTATACAGCAGGTTAGGTTCTGGGTACTGTACGGCCCTGCTTATACAGCAGGTTAGGTTCCGGGTACTGTACGGCCCTGCTTATACAGCAGGTTAGGTTCTGGGTACTGTATGGCCCTGCTTATACAGCAGGTTAGGTTCCGGGTACTGTACGGCCCTGCTTATACAGCAGGTTAGGTTCCGGGTACTGTACCGCCCTGCTTATACAGCAGGTTAGGTTCCGGGTACTGTACGGCCCTGCTTATACAGCAGGTTAGGTTCCGGGTACTGTACGGCCCTGCTTATACAGCAGGTTAGGTTCCGGGTACTGTACGGCCCTGCTTATACAGCAGGTTAGGTTCCATGCTACTGCTGTAAAGTGATAATCGCTGTTAGGTGAAACATAGCCTTTTTTCTTTCTTTCTTTTTTTTTAAATTCATATAAAAGCCTGGTAACATGTTAACATTATATATTAAGTGAGCACTAGAACTAGGCCTAAGAGAAATGTATATACAGTATACACATTACTTACTTTAAAATATCTTCATCCTGAGCTCATAGTGAGTAGTGCATATATTTACTGTAAGAAGTCTGAATAAATGACAAATGGCTTTAATTGAAAACCCACTGCATTAATGAAATGCTGTAAAGTGAAGCGCTGTAATCTACCTGGAGTTCATTACCTCTGTAATTTGTTCAGCTATCAAAACTTTGGGGCTCAGTCCCTGGAGCCATTATGTACCTCTGTAATCTTTTGACTACTGCCCGGAAGATGGATATGGGGATGCATAATAAAGATATTAACCCTTTGAGGGTCGACAGGCCCTCTCCGAAACTCGTTCTCAGGGTCGGCCAAATTTAAAAAAAAAAAAAATTATTTTCTCTTATGAAAATATAGAGAATCTTTTTCCGATCATAACGACACCAAAAGTTTGAAATTTGAATGAAAACTTACGGAATTATGCTCTCGCAAAGTTAGCGGTCTCGGCGATGTTTACGCATCGGCGATTTTGCCCACTTTGAGCCCCATTTTCGGCCAATTTCACTGTACTAGTCGACAAAAAACATGAATATTTCGCTAGAACTCCATTTTTTCTATCGAATGGGTGCAAGAAACCACCCATTTATAAATTCAACTATCCAGTACAGTGGTCAGAATTTAGCAATTTTGCCAATTTCACACAAATTTCAAAAGATGCCAATTTCCGAATAGGGTCCAGAATAAACAAGATAGACATTCCTGGCACTAAAATGACATTTCCTCTAGTCATTAGTCACGTCTCAAGGCCCCTCTTATATTCTTTTGCTTTCCACTTTGAATTTTTATTCTCACAAAAAATATAAGATTTACTGTTATGCAGACTACTGCATTAGTGTAAAAAATGGTATAAATATTATTGGTGCACTTGTGAAAGAATATTAGACTCACCAGTTGACGTGTATTGCACGCTTGGCACGATTTGTTTACTTTTGAAGTTTGGTAAAAATCGAACATTTCTGCTACTTTGAGCTCAATTTCAAGGCACCTTTCATTGTAAAACCAGTCAAAATCATCTCAATTTCAGTAATATGTCTTCCATTCTATAAAATGAGACCAAGAAAACTAGAATAGAACAATAAATACCATACGAAAATACACTGCAAAGTCGCTGATTTATTAAAAAAAAATGGTCAAAGTTTTTTTTTTCTCATTATGCACTGTGTGCTGCAGGATTTTTTTTAGACTGTGCACACTGACCACATAGACCCATTCTTTCATATGAAGGCCTACCAGCTTTCTCCCACTAGATTTGAGGCCGCTAGAATTTATGAGTACTAGTACGTCAAAAACCCCTACACGTAAGACGTACTAGTACGACGAAAACCCTCAAAGGGTTAAACTAGCTAAAACTTGTATCTGCCAAAGAGGACCCCAGAAGGGAGTCGAAATATACAGATCAATTGATCTGAGTTTCCATGTAGGTTATTATTGAGCATTATCTTAAAATTTTGCCTATGATTTATAAAGTCATTAGTAGTAGACCATTTCTCAGCAAAGTTACCCAGGTGTTCCACAGGTGTCTTATTTATCAGCTAATCAGTATTATGTACCTTTGTTCTAAAGTTTCTCCTTGAACCTTCTACCCTTTCAATACAGGTTTCTTGATGCAGATGAGGGGCTCTTGATCCAAGGAATTGAATTTATCCCCCTTCATTAGATCAGTCATGATTGCTTCAAATTCCCCCAGGTGCCATGTGACCCCTGTGAATATATAAATGCTCTCTTCTACTGCCAGGTCAATGTAAGATGGAAACCTCTAATTGTTGTACACAAGATACCAGATATCTTGCTGCTTCTACTCACACTTAGGTCACACTACACATATACATACTCATTTGAATTTTCTTCTATTTTTTCTTAACAGATCTTGTTTTTATTATTTCCTTTCATCTCCATGGGGAAGTGGAATAAGAATCTTTCCTCCATAAAGAACAAAAAGGCACAATACCATGACTGGAACAATACACAAATAACCCACACATAGGAGAAGGAAACTTACGATGAAGTTTTGGTTTGACTTGGACCATTAACTAGTCACACTGTGACTAGTTAATGGTCCAAGTTGGACCCAGACATTATTATAAGCTTCTTTCTCCTCTGTGCAGGTTACGTGAATATTTTCCTCAGTAAGCCATCTATGTTGTAAAATCTGACTAAAATGCCAGGAGCAAGGGGCTAGTAGCCCCTTCTCCTGTATAAATTGCTAAAAGTAAGAAAGCAACCTTTTTATAATAATAATAATGTTTATACATGGTGTCCATGATCACCCAGCAGTAAATAAGAAGAGTACTTAATAAAGAACCTTCCCACAGAATGTGAGTAGCGAGGAGGATCGAGACCACCTGCTGACCACAGAACACCATAACCATCATAGGATCCTCAATGGTATAGACAATCCAGCACTTCTCGACGACACTCTCATGGTAGGTCCGTAGATTCTTAACCCTGCCGAGGGTGAAAAGCTGTACTTTGCCCCTGTTGGATCAGTTCTAACTACCTTCCATTTCCCTGGCACTATATGGCCCCTGTGGGTTTAGTGCTTCCTTGTGAATATAAAAATAGAAAATGAAAATCTTTATTCCATATCTTTATTTCATGTACAGATTAAGACATTTCCTAGGTAGTAGGTTGGTAGACAGCAACCACCCAGGGAGGTACTACCGTCCTGCCAAGTGAGTGTAAAACGAAAGCCTGTAATTGTTTTACATGATGGTAGGATTGCTGGTGTCTTTTGTCTCTCATAAACATGCAAGATTTCTGGTATGTCTTGCTACTTCTACTTACACTTAGGTCACACTATACATACACATACAAGCATATATATACACACCCCTCTGGGTTTTCTTCCATTTTCTTTCTAGTTCTTGTTCTTGTTTATTTCCTCTTATCTCCATGGGGAAGTGGAACAGAATTCTTCCTCCGTAAGTCATGCGTGTCGTAAGAGGTGACTGAAATGCCGGGAACAAGGGGCTAGTAACCCCTTCTCCTGTATATATTACTAAATTTGAAAGGAGAAACTTTTGTTTTTCCTTTTGGGCCACCCTGCCTTGGTGGGATATGGCCGGTGTGTTGAAAGAAAGAAAGATTAAGACATTTACTAATGAAACATTTTGCCATGAGTGGCTTTTTCAGTCTTAATTATGACTAAAGAAGTCATTCATAGCAAAACATCTCTTTTTATACAAATAAAAAAATACAAATTCTTAATTTCTTTTCTGCAGTATACAGATAATGTAGTTCACATGTATGTAATAAAAATATTGTTAAGCACAAAAGAAAGCAGCTACTGTGCTTGCATTTCAGGCAGACTATTTCTAATGCTTAGATACTATTTAAGGAATAAGCATAGACTGTTAAGTATGACTTACTAAATGTACAAATAAAAAGAGGTTTTAGTGTGGGCATATGTGTCTTTCCACAACTCTCCACTACTGCCGTACTAATTAAACCAGTATAAGATATTGATTTGTTTCAGCCTAGTTATCGAGCTCCTGGAGGTGGAGGTGCAGTTGCAGTATGCCACACTGGTATCCCACCAGAGGGAACACTGGCTGGAGTGTTACCTTCACAGCAGACACGACCCTATGAGTCGCCCTTCCTCCCTCGCTCCAACTACCGACCCTCGGCACTCCAGCAGCAACACCAAGCTGCATCTCAGCAGCTTCCAGCACCACCCCAGCATCACACAGCCTCCTCCCATCTCCACCCAGCTATATCCCAGCACCAACCAGCCACCTCCCAGCACCACCCAGCCAGCACTCAGCAAGCAAACTTTACTAGGGAGACATGGATGCGTGCTTCACAAGGACAGTTCAACGTGAGTTATGCAGCTGTGAGAGTTTACCTTAATATCTTTATTATGCACCATATATTCATCCTGTGGGTGGTAGTCAAAAGATTACAGAAGCACATAATGGGTCCAGGGACTGGACCTCAAAGTTTTGATAGCTGACCAAGTTACAACTGTGAGAGATCACTCATTCAAGAAGTCCATTTGTGTCCTGATATTTTAATTTTCAGTTGATTTGTTGCACATAGAAAATACTATTCTAATGGATGGATCCAAATGTTCTGGGAGGGCATCAACCCCCTTCAAAGCCCAAAATAAAAAAAATAATAATAATAATAGTGCTGCAAAAAAGTCTTTTAGCATCCTCGTCCCAACCAGAGAGCCACCACCTAAGTCCTCCGAGTGCTGCCCCAGTTGCTAACAAATTTTAGTTGATTTGTAAATGCCGCATTTGTACCTACAGATGCGTGTAGGTTGTGGCGTTTGTAAGTTATTGCTCCTGGTGTACTATAAGACAAACATCATCTTATACCAACCATGTGCAAAATAGGCACTGTGAAAAAAATAATGAATTTGCAAGCGCTCTCATGATTTCTCACATTATTGTGTAAGAAATCATGAAAACACTTGGAGATTCATTATTTTTTTCATGGTGATTATTTTGCACATTGTAATATCACCTGTTTACTGGAACCTTATTGCACCAACTATATACAGTACATGTCTTAATAACCTGTACTTACCTAGTCATACTGTATTTTGATCTATGAGTAAGAACATTTTTCTAGTAACCTTGAACAGATGCTTAAAATTACTTAGATGTTCATAATACAACCCTCTTTTAATGACTAAACTATTTAGACCATTTTCTTTCTTTTTTTTTTTCGACAAATCGGCAGTTTCCCACCAAGGCAGGGTGGCCCAAAAAGAAAAACGAAAGTTTCTCTTTTCAAATTTAGTAATTTATACAAGAGAAAGGGTTGCTAGCCCCTTGCTCCTGGCATTTTAGTCGCCTCTTACAACACGCATGACTTACGGAGGAAGAATTCTGTTCCACTTTCCCATGGAGATAAGAGGAAATAAACAAGAACAAGTGTTGAGAAATGGCATTACCAGCTAAGTTTAAATATAGGGAAACTTAACTTAGAAAGACAGCTCATCGCCTGCACAGCCGCCCCTGCAGATGAGGTCTTGAGAAGCTGTCAAAGTCATCTCTCAATGGGCTGTAATGAGATCATATTATGTAAATAATAATTTACCCCTAGGGAGTGTTATGTCAGCATATTTCATTCACTGATGGCTGACAAACTTACTTGTGTGGACTCAAAGGTCCACATATCACCGGGGTTTATGATAAGTGACTAACTCAGGACTTTATACTCAACTGCGCAGTCAATAGTAGTACATCACGAGTTAGAACACTTACCTGGGTATATGTATCTGACCCATAATTACGCCCGGATATCCGTTGAGTTGATTGAAGAATAGTGTTCTTTGAAGTATGTCGCACTACACTCTGTTGGATCACAACACTCGTTGTTACACTGTTCATCAATAATTGTTCACACAATATCACTAAGAAGTTGATCACACTTCTCTGTAAGTGTTTATCATGTTTTGTGAGACACTTTGTTCACACTAATGCACAGATTGTTCTTTGTTGGTTACCCTGGCGTCAGTGTCACTCTCAGTAGAGTCAAAAGTAATCTGAAGACGCCACAACGCCCCACGCCGTCACTGCCCCTAGCACCAAGGAAAGGCTGACCTAGTACTTTTGCTTCCTTGCCACTTCCTCCATGAGGCAAAGCAGAATGTTTGATTCTTGCTGTCTTAAGCATAGACAACAATGTCCACTATCTTTACTATGGTAATAAAGTGGGAGCAGGATTTACCTTAATTTTCCTGCCAAGGTAAGAGATGTACTGTCTCTTATTAAAATACACTCTGCAACACTGGACTGCAAGGAGCAGCGGTCGCTTGACCACGTCGCATACTCGTACTGCATCCGGGGTCAATTACTCGCTGTAGCAGTAAACAAGACGCTTGCCCCTTCTGAGAGGGCTGGGCCCCTCAGGGCTGAAAGGGCTGATACCCCCCTCCTGGAGAAAATTTCTCCACAACAAGAACTAGAAAGAAAATAGAAGAAAACCCAGAGGGGTGTGTATATATATGCTTGTACATGTATGTGTAGTGTGACCCAAGTGTAAGTAGAAGTAGCAAGACGTACCTGAAACCTTGCATGTTTATGAGACAGAAAAATGGACACCAGCAATCCTACCATCATGTAAAACAATTACAGGCTTTCGTTTTACACTCACTTGGCAGGACGGTAGTACCTCCCTGGTCGGTTGCTGTCTACCAACCTACTACCTAGAATTTTCTTTCATATTAAGAACATAAGAACATAAGAACGAAGGAACACTGCAGAAGGCCTACTGGCCCATGCGAGGCAGGTCCAAGTCTCCTACCGGCTTAAGCCAATGCACCCAACCTAGTCAGGTCAGGTCACATTGACTTAAGGGAGGAACACGGCAACCGACCTGGTAGCTCAAGCTATCAGGTCCAACTCACACCCACCCACATCCAATAATTATTATAATTATTATTATTATAATAATCATAATAATCATAACCAAGCACTAAACCCATAAGGGTCTCTTTCATATTAAAGAACATTACCATACTGAAAGTCTTTGAAGATGTTAATGTTTTGAAGAATTGTTGTAGAGTTTGTGTTTAGTTATCCTTCAGTAAGGATGACCTAATGCTATGGAATCCAAAGAACTACAGTTGCCCTGCTCTTCCTTAGGTAAACTGGTTTACCTCTAAGTTTCCAGGTGTTGTGTGATCCCTACAGGTTTATTGGTTTGCTTGAATAAAATAACTAATATGTTTGTATCTTCCTCAGGGCCTTGCTGAGATCCACCCACCTCAAGGACACCTGCACCTCAATGGCCACATCTCTCAGCACCATTCACTTGCGTCTGGTCATGTCTCAAATGGCAGTATACATAACCATGCCATAAACCATCTGGAGGGACAACACTCCCACCCCAGTACACACCATGCCCACCCTAACAGCCAACACACTCATCCCAATAACCACCACCCACATGTGAATGGTCATCAGGAACCTGTCAATGGTGTCAGTAACCAAAATAACAGGACAGCTTGTGGCACAGATGAGAACCACATCAACAATGCACAGGAGCAACAGGATGACCAACACAAGGACGACAAGTGGGGCTCCCTCACTCGTGGTCTAGCCGCTCGTAAATATCAACACCTTAAAGAAAAAATATCTAGTAAATTTTCACGTGGGGACAAACCTGAAGACCGCACCACTTCCTCTCAGGTGGATGGAAAAGTCATGTCATCTCAGGGAACGAACACACTAGGCACACCATCTGGTAATGCCAACAACTCTAATGGGAGCTCCCAAGAGGAAGCAGGAGGTATACAAGCAGGACCATCAAGAGATAGTGGTCGTGTCAACAAGCTCAATACAAGTTTCCGCAAAGCAATCCACCAGAGTTCACAGAAGACCAACCTGCAGGAAGCTACGGTAGAGACCAGTTTAAGCACAAGCCAAGAGTGTGCAAGTCAGCAGGGTGGTGGTCTTCCTCCTCACTACCCTCGTAGTTCAGTCCAGTACCACGCACACCACCCAACTTCTCTGCTCTCTCCAGGTCACCGTGCACCTGCACCACTGCCTCAGTCCTCCCCGCAGTTGAATCACCAGCACCAGAATGACCCTTTCGGACATGGCTTAGCCAACAGACGCTCAGGTTCCTACCATCATTTGTCTCAGCTTCGACCGAACGCTCCCTCTTGGCGCTCTCATCATTACTCTGTTGAGAACTTGGTTGATGCTCAAGCATTGCCATCTGACCACACTTATTCTGGACCAGCTGTGAGCACCGGACGTGGACAACCCACAGGTGGTGAAAATGTTGGCTCAGGTGGTTCAGACTCGGGGCGTGGAACAGCAGGCAGCGGTGGAGATGGTCGGGTTCCTAACAATTTAGACACTAGCCTCGACTCTTCTGCATCACAACGGCAGAATAATCAAGGCCACTCATCGAGTAAGAAATGGTTTTTGTATAACACAGTGAATCTGTTATTATTGTGTGCATGTGCATGCATGCATGCATGCATGCATACATGTATGCATGCTTGCTTGCTACTGCTGTAAAGCGAAAATTGCAGTAAAGTGAATCGTAGCCTTTTTCCACTTTCAAATGCATAAAAAAGCCTGGTAGCATGCTTACACTATCATATATTAAGTAAGCAATAGAGCTAGGTCTAAAAATTGCATATACAATACATTACTTACCTTAAAATATTTTCATCCTTAGCTTATAGTGAGTGGTGAATAAAATGTAGGAAGTCTGAATAAATAAAGAGTGGCTATACAGTGGAACCTCGGTATGCGAGCTTAATTCATTCCAGAAGGCTGTTCAAGTGCTGCTCTGTTTGAATATTGAACAAGTTCTTCCCAACCAATTTTCTGTTTGGTTGGCTGTTATCGCTAATCTTCACAGGCCCCATGGTGACTTATTTATACAAATAATACAAAAAAAAAAAGCACCAAAAAATGCAAAGAAACACGAAATAGTTTACAGCAAAGTTCTGGCAGGTTGTATTTATTTGGTCGAGTGCTGAGCTTTGTTCGAGTAGTGAGCTACTAGTATACCAAGGTCCCACTGTAATTGAAAACCACTGCATTAGTGAAATGCTGTAAAGCAAAGCACTCTAAAGTGGAGCCTTCCTGTACTTGATCTGTCATAAAGTTGTTTAAAGTTTGCGGTTGTTGCAGCACTAAGTATCTTGTCTTGCAAAGCACTGCACTGATGTGTACAGCAGGAGTAATGTTGTTGTCATGTTGCACCAGGCAATGACTCCGAGTGGGTGGACATGACTGATGCAGAGTTGCAGCGCATCATGAAGAAGACCTGTGAAGGCAAAACCAGTGGAGGCTTGAAAAGTCGAGAGTCCCTCGCCGCCACGCCGCCCTTGCCGCCACTCTCACCTGAGGCCTCCCCTCAGCACTCCCCTCAGCCCTCCCCTCTACCCTCCCCACCAAGACATCGCAAATACAGCCTCTCTTACAGGTACTGCTTAAACATGACACTAGTAGTATTTTTTTTGTCACTTATCAATGAAAACATAATTGATTCAATAATTTCATCATATCTATTATGTATCTACAGTATTTATTTCTATTTACCTATCTGTTTGTTGGCTCATTTAGCTCTTGTTTTCTATAGAATATTAACATTGTTATTTATACTAGTTGTTCTGTTTTGTGCCTTCAATGGAGAATGTCCTGATGCTGGTGAGTGCTGTTGCTCCAGGAAAATGGTGTTATCAGTCCATTCCTTCGATCAAGCCTAACTCTCTCTTGTTCTCCAATCTGCACTTTATTAGTTTGACTCCTACAGACATAGCATCTCCCCAGGATTATTATTTTTTATTTTAGCCTCACTGGTTGTCTCCAGCCAAAACAGAGTAACATAGGGAAAACACATCCACCATTGTACATTCAATGCCTGTCTTTTTATTTTTAACACACTTGCTTCCCACCAAGGGAGGGTGACCCCAAAAAGAAAAAACACTTTTACCATCTCTCACTCCATCACAGTTCAGATTCTCCTCCAAGCTACAATTATCTCCATCCCCTCCTGAGTGTAGGCACTTACTTTCCACCTCCAGGACTCAAGTCCAGCTAACCATTTTCCCTGAATCCCTTCATGAATGTTACTTAGCTCACACTCCAACAGCACATAGTCATAAAAAAACGACTGCCTCCTCACCCTAGCCCAAGCCTCACTATCCTCATAAAAACCTCTTACCTGTTTTCAGTAACCTACCACTTGCAAAATGTGCCACATTGTTCCCTATCCACCCTATCATATGCTTTTTCTAAATTTTGTTTTATGGTAATAATATTCTGCTTGAATTCTTCCTCTGTAAGCCATGAGTGTCATAAGAGGCTACTAAAATGCTGGGAGCAAGGGGCTATTAACCTCTTTTCCCAATTGCTAAAATTTTAAAAAAGAAATTTTCGTTTTTCTTTTTAAGGTGACCTTGCCTGGTAGGATATGGCCAGTTCATTGAAAAAAAAAATTCTGCTTGGTAATGGGTATTTGATCTTTCAGCACTAATGATAAGATTTCAGACTTTGAAATGTTTTCAGAATTAAAATGAAAATGCTTACTTTGACTCTGATATTTCTATTCCTCATATAGTTAAGATTCCTGAGATGAAAATCTAGCTTTGAAGAATAAATATGTTTTAAAGTCAGTTTATTATGTTAAGTAAATGCAGTCAAGCACCAAAGGTTCAGAATCCCATAATTTTGAGAATATAAATTTAGTTTTGGCACTCAGAGATGAGGTCTTCTTTGATTTTACTGTAATGTTTAATCTTGGAAAGTATGCCTTGAAATTTTCACTTAAAATTTTACAGCGAGCTAGTTTATATGAATCATAAGTTCAGAAGGTGGCAACAACAAGTAAGAGGGAGGTGAAAGTGTATAAACTAAGGGAGGAGGAAGTTCGGGTGAGATATAAGCGACTATTGGCAGAAAGGTGGGCTAGTGCAAAGATGAGTAGTGGGGGGCTTGAAGAGGGTTGGAATAGTTTTAAAAATGCAGTATTAGAATGTGGGGCAGAAGTTTGTGGTTATAGGGGGGTGGGGGCAGGAGGAAAGAGGAGTGATTGGTGGAATGATGAAGTAAAGGGTGTAAATAAAAGAGAAAAAGTTAGCTTATGAGAGGTTTTTACAAAGCAGAAGTGTTATAAGAAGAGCAGAGTATATGGAGAGTAAAAGAAAGGTGAAGAGAGTGGTGAGAGAGTGCAAAAGGAGAGCAGATGAAAGAGTGGGAGAGGCACTGTCAAGAAATTTTAATGAAAATAAGAAAAAATTTTGGAGTGAGTTAAACAAGTTAAGAAAGCCTAGGGAAAGTATGGATTTGTCAGTTAAAAACAGAGTAGGGGAGTTAGCAGATGGGGAGAGGGAGGTATTAGGTAGATGGCGAGAATATTTTGAGGAAAATTTTAATGTTGAGGAAGAAAGGGAGGCGGTAATTTCATGCACTGGTCAGGGAGGTATACCATCTTTTAGGAGTGAAGAAGAGCAGAATGTAAGTGTGGGGGAGGTACGCGAGGTATTACGTGGAATGAAAGGGGGTAAAGCTGCTGGAACTGATGGGATCATGACAGAAATGTCAAAAGCAGGGGGGGGGGGATATAGTGTTGGAGTGGTTGGTACTTTTGTTTAATAAATGTATGAAATAGGGGAAAGTACCTAGGGATTGGCAGAGAGCACGTATAGTCCCTTTATATAAAGGGAAGGGGGACAAAAGAGATTGTAAAAATTATAGAGGAATAAGTTTATTGAGTATACCAGGAAAAGTGTACGGTAGGGTTATAATTGAAAGAATTAGAGGTAAGACAATGTAGGATTGCGGATGAGCAAGGTTTCAGAGTGGGTAGGGGATGTGTAGATCAAGTGTTTACATTGAAGCATATATGTGAACAGTATTTAGATAAAGGTAGGGAACTTTTTATTGCATTTATGGATTTAGAAAAGGCATATGATAGAGTGGATAGGGGAGCAATGTGGCAGATGTTGCAAGTATATGGAATAGGTGGTAAGTTACTAAATGCTGTAAAGAGTTTTTATGAGGATAGTGAGGCTCAGGTTAGGGTGTGTAGAAGAGAGGGAGACTACTTCCCGGTAAAAGTAGGTCTTAGACAGGGATGTGTAATGTCACCATGGTTGTTTAATATATTTATAGATGGGGTTGTAAAAGAAGTAAATGCTAGGGTGTTCGGGAGAGGGGTGGGATTAAATTATGGGGAATCAAATTCAAAATGGGAATTAACACAGTTACTTTTTGCTGATGATACTGTGCTTATGGGAGATTCTAAAGAAAAATTGCAAAGGTTAGTGGATGAGTTTGGGAATGTGTGTAAAGGTAGAAAGTTGAAAGTGAACACAGAAAAGAGTAAGGTGATGAGGGTATCAAATGATTTAGATAAAGAAAAATTGGATATCAAATTGGGGAGGAGGAGTATGGAAGAAGTGAATGTTTTCAGATACTTGGGAGTTGACGTGTCGGTGGATGGATTTATGAAGGATGAGGTTAATCAGAGAATTGATGAGGGAAAAAAGGTGAGTGGTGCATTGAGGTATATGTGGAGTCAAAAAACATTGTCTATGGAGGCAAAGAAGGGAATGTATGAAAGTATAGTAGTACCAACACTCTTATATGGGTGTGAAGCTTGGGTGGTAAATGCAGCAGCAAGGAGATGGTTGGAGGCAGTGGAGATGTCCTGTCTAAGGGCAATGTGTGGTGTAAATATTATGCAGAAAATTCGGAGTGTGGAAATTAGGAAAAGGTGTGGAGTTAATAAAAGTATTAGTCAGAGGGGAGAAGAGGGGTTTTTGAGGTGGTTTGGTCATTTAGAGAGAATGGATCAAAGTAGAATGACATGGAAATCATATAAATCTATAGGGGAAGGAAGGCGAGGTAGGGGTCGTTCTCAAAAGGGTTGGAGAGAGGGGGTAAAGGAGGTTTTGTGGGCAAGGGGCTTGGACTTCCAGCAAGCGTGCGTGAGCATGTTAGATAGGAATGAATGGAGACGAATGGTACTTGGGACCTGATGATCTGTTGGAGTGTGAGCAGGGTAATATTTAGTGAAGGGATTCAGGGAAACCGGTTATTTTCATATAGTCGGACTTGAGTCCTGGAAATGGGAAGTACAATGCCTGCACTTTAAAGGAGGGGTTTGGGATATTGGCAGTTTGGAGGGATATGTTGTGTATCTTTATACGTATATGCTTCTAAACTGTTGTATTCTGAGCACCTCTGCAAAAACAGTGATTATGTGTGAGTGTGGTGAAAGTGTTGAATGATGATGAAAGCATTTTCTTTTTGGGGATTTTCTTTCTTTTTTGGGTCACCCTGCCTTGGTGGGAGACGGCCGACTTGTTGAAAAAAAAAAAAAAGTTCAGAAATCCTTCAACCTTGATCCAGCTGAACTTTGGGTCTTGACTGTATAAAAATTTTCATTAATACTGAATAAACTTAGTTAATAATTTGAAAACAATAGCAATGGCCTGAACAAACCTGACCTTCTGGAGGCAGCAGGACGGGACGGGAGTAAGAGAGGAGTGGTGGAGGGACGAACCAACACTATCCCGCAGGAGGGTTCCCAGTCCACAACCAGGAGGACAGGTGGCTCACACACACAACATACACATGCAAGGTGAGGGCCCAACTCTCAAACGATGTGTTCCTGGTATTTCAACTTACCAACAAGTCATCTGTGACCCTGAAAGTATTATCATATAAAAAATGATAAAACAAAGTAGTAATTGTTTCACTTATGTTCTTAATAATAACTCACATGGAGACAGAAACTCGGGAGATTAATTGATTTACATTTTTCAATTGCCTTCTGGGGTCATCTTCAGCAGATACACAAGTGAAAGGAGAACTTGAATACTTATGGAAGGTTGCACCTCTAACAGTGCAGGGGGGTACTCCCCTGTATGGTATGACCCTGTGGGATACTCCCCTGCATGGTACAGCCCTGTGGGGTACCCGCTTGCATGATACTCCCTTGGGGTACTCCTCTGCACTGTACTCCTCTGCACTGTGAGAGGTGCAACCTTCCATATACTATATTCATGTTCTCTTTTCACTTGGGTATCTGCTGATGAGGACCCCAAAAGGGAGTCAAAATACACAGATAAATTAATCTCCTGTGTTTGTCTCCATGTAGGTTATTATTGAGCATTAACAAGTGTTCATTACACTATAGTTATCCATATGTTCTTAACTGTAGATCAGCATTTATAAAACAACTATTTTCTCATTATTATGTCTTTTGAACCTAATTTGCAAGTGTGGATTGTCATCACCCTGGTGGTTTTAAGCCACAGCTTCCTTGTAAGATTATTTTAATTTATTCTACCACATACAGGCTAAGTAGTTATCATAGTACAGGTGGGCCCTGCTTACACAGCAGGTTAAGTCCTGGGCCACTGCTGTAAGACAGGGCCTGCCTGTACATCACCAGTTTCCCAGCACCTTGCTTCCTAAGTCTTGCTGGATTATTGATTTTGCCAGCCCGACAGAGGTGACATCATAATAATTCAATGATACACCTCTGACCCACCATGGACTACTAGAGAGTTAAATTAAACTCTAGTATAAATGAAAATATATTGGAACTAGTAATTTATTTGATATTAAAATTTGCATGGTCACCATTATGATTCAAGAGGGGCATATAATTCAGTGTTAGCTCAGTGCAGTAAAACTTCAATTTAATGGGATTACGTTTAATGGATTTTGGAAACTTGACAAAATACGTATGCTGGGTATAGAATTATTAGTATTTGTTAATTTGCAGATTGGCTGGTATGTGGTGACTGAGCTTGTTATTGATGCTATGTTATTTAAAAGCTTAGGTTAAGGCTATGTTATTTAAAAGCTTAGGTTAAATCTGTGTTATTTAAAAGCTTAGATTGATGTTATTTAGAAGCTTAAGTTGATGCTATATTTTTAAAAGCTTAGGTTGATGCTATATTATTTAAAAACTTAGGTTCAAGGTCAATATTTGTATGCTTAAGTAATAGCAGCATTTAAAACTTAATATTTAAATATAATTTAAAATTATTTAGGGTACACATGCCACACTGCTGATACATGTTCTAATCATATGTTTTCTCTCAGTGGCAAGACAGTGTCCAGCGGTGGGAGCAGTGGACACAGGTCACTGGGGGTCCTGGCAAGCACTTGGTCACACAAGAAGGATGATGAAAGGCACAATAATGCTCTATTTGAATCACTAAACAAAAATAAAAATAGAGTTAATTTAGGTAATTCTGTTAAATAAGTCGTGGGATTTATACAGTGATAGTGTGAATGATGGTGAAAGTATTTCTTTTGCAGGTTACCCTGCCTCGGTGAGAGATGGCCAGTGTGTTGAAAAAAATTATATT